AGATAAACAACAAAAAATTATCTAGTTTAAGTGTGTCCCAAGTATTGTGTGGCATATACTTAGAATTCACTGTTTATTTGAAATTCAAATTGGATTGGGCAACCTGTATTTTTATTTGCTAAATCTGGCAACACTAGTCAAAGGAAAACTATTTTTCAGCTTATTTTCAATTGGCATTATACCACCCTGCACCAAGGAAAAACACAGATGAAAAGAATTATATAATTGTCTATTTTGTTTTAATGATTTCTATTATTAAATGGCAAAGGACTCAGGTTTATAAACAATGTTAAAACAGGTAAAAGAAATAGACTATGCTGGTGTAAAGGATTATGATGAACATTTAAAGATCCACAGATCAGGAAAACTGATGTTGCATCAATCCTTGTCATTTAAATAATTTAAGCTGTAACTAAGAAAAGTAATGCCAAGAACTACATACACAAATCAGTCTTATTTTATAGTCACTCTGCTTGCACATTAACTGGATGATAACCTATTAGCCCTGCATTTCCAAGTAAAAAACAATCATTGCATAAGGCACATGTACTTATTACTTGCCTACCTCTTTTTAGTACTTCCTCTGTTTTCTAAATGAAACATTATTTTTTTTAAGCAACTGTTTGATTTAATCCCTTATTAGCAAAGCAAATATTTGGTCTCTAAACGAATATTTCCAATTTCAGTGACAGACACTTCCAAAAGGAAGCAAACTTCTAAATGCTATAGCAGGATTCCTTTCACTTGGGTGTTAAGACAGCCAATCCCTTTGAAAGTATTTTTTAAATGTTTCTCTCCAGGGATGTTATACCCCCTGTCCCCGCCTCTCCCTGCCTTCCCCGGAAAATTATTAAGAAAGTCTACATTTTCAAATAGTGAAAATATTTGGCCAATATTTTCCTTATAAAAACACAAGCACAATTAGACCAGGCCCAAGTGCTCAAGTTAAATTAGTAATTTGGCCATTATATTTTTAGGTACTGGAGACAGCCATTCTGGATCATTCAGACACCATAAACTGTCTTTCCTAAGTCGTTTGATCTGTATTATACAAAATTTGTGGCTCTGGGAACCTGACCTTAAGGTTTACCTGAGTCCGGCTTTTGAAATATACCAGTTCGTAAAAGACTTTGTGGAAGAAACAAAGTCCTCGGTGAAACTACTTCTATTTGTTGTTGAGCATTTTTGTTACTGTTGTGCTAAATCTGAGCTGGCATGTTATTAACCTTTTCAAATTAGGCATTTAGTAGGCTCAGCTGAATCTTTTCCTAACTTGCACATTAGAATTTGCCAGAACAGCTGGCACTGGGCTGGAATATTAGTTGAGATCTTTGATTTACATAGTCCAAGAGCTAACATATAAATTCTGCTTTTGGAGAGGATGACCTAATCCCTGCCAAATACAGTAAACTTTGTGAATAAGAATAATAGCAACAATAATAGCTAACATTTATTGAGCGCTTATTGTGTCCCAGCCACTGTAGGTATCTTCAGTCATTAAACACTTTCAACAACCTTATGAGGTTATAATCCCCCAATTTTGTAGATAAGAAAATTCAGAAGGGTTAAGTTGCTTGTCCTAAATCATACAGTAAGTAGTAAAACTTGGCTTTGTACCTAGGCAATCTAGCTGCAGAATCTCCTTGCTTACGACTTTGCAACACTGCCTCAGTAAATGTATCCGGTAACAAGTAAGAGCTTCCACCCTCTCCTGTTATAAGTGAAGGAGGTGCCATTTCTTGAACTGTGACACAGACTTCAGGTGAATAGTAGGTAACCAGGCTAAAGGAATGCGAGCAAACTTTCAGGTCCACTACCAACCAACCGTAGGCAACCTCACTGTTCCTGTAAATGTGTGTGCATATTTTTGGTTTATCTTTAACATGTTTATGACAAGATTTATCATAGGGTTTTAGTATGCTTATGATAAGGTCCTGACAAAAATCAGGACCTGTAGCAGGAACAGAATTATAAATGTGTAGGGTGGGGTCTTTCTTCAAGGACAAAGACATTCTAGATGTTAGTCACCTGGAGAAGAGCTATGACAGGCCCAGAACACAAATAGAATCTTTAGCTGGGTGGCTGGCTGGAATCTAGGTCTCCTGATTTTGATCACCAAGGGGCCAGAAAGGCGGCCTGGCTTGTGGGGTGGAATGCAGTTGTTTCCCTAGGGGAAGGCTAGGGGCAAACAGGGCAGAACCCGGGGCAGAAAAAGTTGGACTGTGGGGTTTGTGCCTCTCTTACCCGTGTTTCTTTCCCTTTCGTCCTTCTTGAGTTTTTGAAAAAGGCCTTTTGAAAGTTCCAGTATATCTCGGATGTCTCACTGAGGGAGTTTTTTAAATAAATTGGCATAGAACACAGGAGGGCGGCAATGATGGCGGTGAAAATGAAGGAAAAGAATCCAGAGGGGAGAGGGCCAGAGATGAAGATGGAGGCTTCCTGTAGCTGGCCATCCTCCCTCGCTCACGGTTCTGCTGCCAAATCCTGCAGGTTCTGGCTTGTATTTTAGTTTGGAGGCAGGGCTCCTGTATGCCTTGTACATGCATTACAGGTGGGGGGGAATATTTGTACAATAGCCATGCTAGTTCTCTACCACAGTAAACTTTGAGAGAACTGTAGACAGTTCATAGTTTCTCTCTTCCTTCTTTTAAAAATACAGATTAGTAAATAATTTTTTTGCTGGGTTGTTGACAATGCACACATATTTGCAAGTGTCTATTATACAGACTGGAGGAAATGCTATGTATATATTGATTTATTAAGCTAAAAAAAAAAGCCCCCTGCCAAACCTCATTCCTGGCTCAAGATAGCATCACCTTAAGAGTTTTACAGAAATTATCCAGAAGCCTCTAAAGCTGGACGCAGAGTCAGGGCTGGGTTGGGGGAGAAAACAGAAAAGGAGCAACTGCCTGGTGAAACAAACTAAAGCTTTGCCAAGGGAGTTCCATAGGAGCCACTGAAACATGCACTTTCATTTCAAGAGCCCTCATCCTCCTTTCCTTTACTAAACATTTATTTATTCCAAAAAAAAGTGATATTTTAGTTTCAATGTCAAAAAAAGTGACATTTTACTTTGGGATGCAAAGAATCTCATGAGGTATTTATGTCAATTTGAATATTATTTTCCTGACAACTTATTGTAAGTAGCTCTAAAACCACACTGACCCTAAAGAGATTCCTTCAGAGGCAAACACTCAGAGGAAAGAATGGAGCTGCATCACTCCCTGTTGGGGAGATGTATACAGAAACATCATATGTGTTTCGGGGTCAGGAGAGCCCCAGGACCGGGAGGCTGATCTTCTTGGCTCTGACCTCCACACGTGTACAGGGATGGAGGTTAGGCTGCTCAGTTAGTCCCTGAACCACCAGCCTCCTCACTCTGGCTGTGAACAAGGGCAGTATTCCTGCCCCCAATTTGCGGGGCTAACCTGTAAAACTGGCCAAGAGAAAAAGTTCCTGAGCTCTTTAGAAAAAAAGAAAAATGCCACAATACACTACCTAGTGGGGTTAATCCTGACTTTGTCGACTGCCAGAGCTGTTTAAAAGAAAAAAGACGAGGAGCGAAATAAAATTAGTAAACAAACCTACTGGCTCTACTGGCTCACTGAAGGTTTTCTGAGCCTCGAGTCTCATGAAAACATATCTAGTGAGGGGAAAGTCAAAACCTTTCATGGCGTTTCGTAAACATCTCTTGCCTGGAGGATTACGGGAGTTGCCAAGCAGAGCAATCCCCGGGCTGGACGCGCTGTTAACCTGCCGCGATGCGCAGTCAAAGCCGCCACACTGTTCGGGAACCGTCGGCGGACGGGTCCTCAAACCTTGCAGACACCAGAGAAAAAAGGGTTTTCTCAAGTGTTCACTAGTAGAGGCAAAACGCACGCTATTGCCTCAAGTTGGGAAACTTCCTCAAAGCTGCAAGGAAAGCCCTAGTTTCTTTTCAAGGGGTTATAGAGACTTGTGTCCACAATTAAAGGAATCTAAGCAATTCAGGAGGAAAAATATACACGACTACAAGCAGGAGTCAAATCAACGTGTGTATGTGACTTGTCAGTGTCCGAGCACTAGTGCCACTATTTCCACTGGCGCTTTATCCTACTCAATTATTCCTTGTCGGGCTGCATTTTCTAGAAAAACCGGGCACCCCCAACTCGACTCAAAAGCGTTACTCTGAATCTCGCCTCGGCCCCCACCAAGCCGAGCTCGTTCCTCCTGCTCCTCTCTCCACAGCCTCCTGCCAGAGGCCGCCGCCGTCGGTGGTCCATAGACCTGCGAAGCGCGTAAGGGAAAGCGGTCCCGAGGCCGGCGCGTGTGTGATGGGGGAGTAGGCGGAATATGGGGCATGCTAGTTTTAGCCAAGTTAACAGTTTCTGCCATGGCACGCCTTTTTTGGGGAGGCTGCAGACCACTGGGTACAACTGCAACTCCACAGCTGTGATCGCAAGCTTGAGCCGGGTAGGGCCAGCTTCCGTGGGGCTCGAATGCCGCATCCTCTCCCAGAGGTCACTAAGTCTCGGAGAACGCACACCAGCCCCGCCCCTCGCTGCCCCTGCTTAAAGCCTTTCCCGATGCGATTCTCCTCGGCTTCTCCTGCTCTTCATCGCTCCCCGGGCCCATTCGCGTTAAGAAGTATGGTTCCGGCTTCTGGCAGAGTGTGCTCGGAGACCCGAGAAGCCTCGGGTCGCAGTCAGTGTCGCCCGCACGGGGTTCGAACGCGTCGCGCAGCCACCTGTTCTACAAAACCCGGAGTTTGTGCGAGCGCGGGCTATAGTAGGAAAGACCCTGTTATCCCTTCGGTTCGGAACGCCCCAGGATCTCCAAAGGCGCGCATCGCCCCAAGTCCCAGTGCACACAGTCCTTCGCGCAACCCCGGAGGCTCGCACCGCTCTGTCTACGCGCGGCGACTTACTTCCCGGTCTCCCCGCTCCAGCCCCGACCCTAGCGCTGGCTGTCAGGGCCCATACCACTCCCGACCCCTCCGGGAGGACCGCGCCCCAAAGTACCTGCCGTGAAGATGCAAAGAACGAAGAGAGTCTTGCAGATCATGGTACCCTAGTGCTCGGTGCCGAGCCCGGCGCGGGCGGCGGGAGAGTATGCCAGGACTGACCGAGCGCACGGGGCGCGGACGGTTCCTCCTCTGTCCCGCGGGCTGCGGTAGGAACCGTGTGTCCCGCGCGGCTCGGGTGGCGGGCGGGGAAGCCAGGCGATCGCGGCGCGGCTCCGTCAGCTGTGTGTCCTCCGGCGCCCAGCGAGCGTCTGCTCCATCCCAGCCGCCCGAGCCCGGGGCCGCCCCCGCCGCCACGCCAGCCTCCGCCAAACTCCTCCCACCCGGGCCCCACGGCGACAACTAGGCCACCCCCTGGCCTTTCCTCTCCCAGAGCTAGGGTCCCGGGAGCCCCGGCCCAGGGCGGCCTCTGCTGGACAGTCAGGGCGCCAGACCCGAGTATCGACGGGGTTCAGCAAATGTTTGGAGTGTCTGGCACTGTGCTGGGAAGTAAGGAGATGTAAAAAAGTGGGAGGGGATCTCTGCCCTCAGGAATTTATCTCAGCTTTCCTTACAAGAGCTTACATCCTTTAAAAAGGTAACCATATCCCATTGTAAGAGAGCACACGTATTTCTTTCTAAGCACGAGAACCTTTTTGCCTTCATTTCTCCAAAAGCTCCTGCCTGTATATTAAACCCTCACACACAGTCAGCCCCGGAGGACACTTTCTGGTACCTGAGCCAGTATGTCTGCTGTCCTATTTAGCTTCTTCCTGAAGTAGTACCGATATCAGGAAGCACTGATCATGGAATTACTATAAGCAAGACATCATACTCGGTGTTATATTGTTACTCCTTCTAACAATACTATGACATGAGAATTATTATTATTTCATTGTACAGATGAGAAGACTAAGGGACAGAGAAGTAATTTGCTCAAGGTCACATAGCCGGTAAGGGCTGGACCCCATAACCGAACAGCTTGTGTGCACGGGGGCCATAATAATAAAAGCTAACATTTCTCGTGTTATTACTTCATGCTGGACAATTGTGCTGCATAGGTTTTAACCAAATCAAGTTCTCAAAACGATGCTTTGAGGTGGGCACTGTTATTGTTTCATTTCCAGGTGAGGAAATGGAAGCACAAAGAGGTTTAAGTACTAGTCCAAGGTCACACAACTAGCTAATGGTATCGATAAGTTGCCTGCTTAAGGCATCCTGGGTCACCTCCATACTCTACTCCCTCTTCAAAGCCCAAAGGTTCGGTGCGTTTACGCAGATCAAAACTGATCTTTCATTTAATCCTCCCCAGCACCTTAGACTTGCTTATTTCTCACATCTCTATCAATCAGACCAGATGCCAAATCATCTCCCAGTAATTATGTGATTATGAGTCTGGTGGTCGCCTTGGCACTAGAGCTGGGAAGCCACAGGAATTAATGAATCTTCCAAAATAATTAATTTGCTCAAGACCATTAGTAGCTCTGGAGAATGGCACTGTTTTTCTGTGACTTCTTTTGCATATACCAGAGCCTCAGGATTTATCTTCTCACTCTTTTGGGACTCATTATTTTATCTGTGACAAGGTCAATTCCTCTATCTGACCACTATTACCACTTGTAGAACTTGTCATGCTTCCACAACCAGAAAGACAAACTGGGCGCACAGTTTTTCTTTCCTCTTTGTTAAATGTACTGATTCTTTTTGGAATGAGAACAAAAAGATATTTGTACAGCCCGTGCCCATTCCCTTTCCCTCCTCCCTAGCCAGAGAAACCACAAATTCCATTTGTTAAACACATTTTCTTAATGCTTTTGACCTTGAGGTCCTTCTGGTTTCTAGTATAATCTACATGATTATGAAGAATTTCTGTATCTGGCTTATAGTTGTCATGGAGGTAGATACCACACACAGATGAATTTTTGCAGGGCCTTTCTATAAGGAACTGGTGCCTTTAAATAGGGTCATTTAAGTAAGTGATTCTATAACGGAAATAAAGATTTTTGAAAACCACTTCATAGAAAAAATGATTCAATATAAATTCGATAAAACTTTAATGAAATTCCCCTGGAGTACAAAGCATGTGTGACTCTGACTTTGATATCTAAGATGATTGTCTGGAACCCTAAGGATAGTGCTACCCATATACAAATCAGTTAAAATTTCCAAGGTTTTTTACTGTACACAAAATAGAATTGAAAATAATTTCTTTATCAAAATTATTTTTATTAATGATTAAAACTTTTAATTCAGTAACTGTGAACTATAGATAAAAATATAATGTTGAATTTAATAAATTCTTTAGTCATCATAATTGTTAATGTGCTTAAAGTTTTTGTGTAACTCTTATGAATAAATGTATTCAAAGATTTTTAAAAAAATCATTGATTTAGAGAAAACATATTTGATTACTCACTAGGTGCCAGACACTGTGGGAATGTCATAGGTTATAATAGTTAGGGTAGGCTAGGTAATGCTGCTATGATAAATCACCCCAATCTCTCCAGAGACTTCAGCAATAATGGTTTATTTCTCTCATCAAAGTCTGCTATAGAACCAGGTTACACCTCAGAGTAGCTGTCCTCTATGTCAGGGCTCAGGGTTGTATCTCTATATCAAAACCTGCTTGCCCTCTCATTGAGATAGAGGAGAGAAAAGGAGAGTCAGTGCAACGGTTAAATCTTCCACCTAGAAGTTTCTGCTCATATTTCATTGGTTAAAGCAAGTCAATGGCCATGCTCAATTTCAAGAGATCAATCTTCTTGTGTGCTCAGATGAAGAGGATAGCTGGATAGCAGGGGACTGTTGTGATGTGTGCCACAGTGATTAAATGTCCCTGCCATGAGGAAGCTTATATTCTAGTTGTAAGGAGTAAAACATTGTATGAACGATCACAAAAATATAAGCAATAATTTATCTTAAATGATAGAAATAATACTAACATTTATTGAGTTTCTGCTATGTGTTAGGAATTATTCTAAGCTTTTTATATAACCTGTTTAAACATTACACTCCAGAAGGTTATCCCAATTTTACAAATAATTAAAAAAAAGCTGAGAGATACTCAAAGAGTTTAAGTATGAAGGAAACCAAAAGGTGCTATGAATTATAGCATAGGGATTTGCACTCCTCACTGGGGTCAGGGATGGAATTTGCATACAACCCTTTAGTCAAACCTTACAGCAAAAGCCTGTGTCTTCATGAAAATCTCTCTCTTTTTTTTTTTTTTTAAATGCTCTACTGGGATAAAATCTAAGATAAATAGGCCTTTCACTGAGTTCCACTCTTTTTGATTACTATTAAAATGAATTTCTAGCGTTGTAGACTTTCAACATGTTACAAAAAATTACCCTTGGTTAACTTAGTTTTTGACATCCTGAATTTATTATAATTTATAGATAATGTCATATAATGTATGTTGTATAATATAGAAGTGTTAGCTTTAGACTCTGGGATTTATCATGGCCTAGCAGAGACAGAGTACTGTGACTGAGAGAGCTGCGTGAGGCAGTATGTGCAGTGGTTAGAGACTGGATTCTGATGTCTAGCCTATGGCCACTGAACTCTGGATCTAATCCACCCTCTGACAAATACTGAGTGACTCTAGTTACTCGGCACCTCTACGCCTCAGTTTCCTCCTGGCATTATTGGGAAGATTGAATGGGTTACATATGTGAAGGCTTGGCATGTTCTAAGTATCAATACATGTTAGCTATTATTAGAGGAGAAACTTTAGGGGTACATTTAAAACAAAGTTGTTGAATCTAAAGCACTAGAAGAGACCATTAATGCCTACTGCAGCTATTTCTTCACACTCACAGTTATGTGACTTGGGCTCTGCCCTCAGTAATTCCACTCCTGCCATAACTGAGCTGCAGGGGAAAGCTCTACACTGTCTCTGACAGCTCCTTCCCTACCTCACCTCTATCCCAAAGGGTCAGGAATGCCATCCTTGAGACCCTGATATATTTTGCTTTCTTTTCATTTCTCTTCCCAAGCCACGTTGCAATAATGTTTCCATGGGTTCTGCTACAATTCCTCACATCACTTTTCTTTTCTCTTAACTGTGATTCCCTCTTTTTCAATATAAATGGCAAAAAAGATTTAAAATGGTTATGCAATATGCGCAAAAGGATAAATTTGGAATTTTGCCAAGAAATATCTGTTTAAACAAGGGCATTTGTAAAAAGGCATGGTAAAACCTGATTATTTCCTTGGTTTAAATAAAGTTGTTTGGAGCTGCATGAGATCTTTGAAGACACTAAACCACAGGTCACTAATTTTTATTTTAATTAAGGAGGAAGCCCTTAAAATATTTCAGAAAGGAAAAAACTGGCTTCTTAAACGTGATGCACATATTGAATCCTCTTATTTAAACAAGTCTAAAACTTGATTGATACTATAGACATGTGTTGTCCAAGAGAAGTAAGATACAAGTCACATATGTAATTTGAAAATTTCTAAAAGTCATATTTTTAAAAAAGAGAAACAGGTGAAATTAATTATTTAAAGCATATTTAATAATACGCTTTATTTAACCCAATATATCTAAAATATTTATCATTTCACATGTAATGAATATAAAAACATTAATGAGATATTTTACATTCTTTTTCTCATTCTAAGTCTTTGAAATCCAGTGTATATTTTATAGTTATGTGACATCTCAGTACAGACTCGGCACCTTAAGCAAACATGGCTAGTAGCTATCATAATGAGCACTGCGGCTATAGAACATTGGCCTGGTCTTTTTGCCTTGCCTCATGGATATGCTCTGTGAAAGTACAGAGCAGTGCTGGCGGGAGTAGTTGAAAGCCTAAGACTTGCTGATAGCATTGCTTCCAATCCTCATTAACCGCTCTGAGTCTCAGTTTCCCCTTCTGTGGAATGAAGATGATGATGATAATAATGATACCTTGTGTCAAAGGATTATTATGATCATTACACGTCTGGAAAAGATTTAGAACAGACCCTAGACAGAGCAGAGCCTTGATAAATATTTTCTGTTGTATTTGGGAGGAATGGTTATGATGATGATGAAAATGATTATTAATAGCAAAATCTTCCCAATTGTCATTGTAATATTAGAGATTCCTTACTACTCGGAGGCATTGACAATATCTCTTGCCCCTAGAAATTTACATATGTGTAGTTTAGAGTAGTAGTTAGCAACATTTTTGTTTCAGGACCCCTTTACCCTTCTAAAATTTGGTTAAGAACTCCCAAAACCACTTGTTTATGTAGGAAGGTCATTTAAGGGTCCTT